TTCCAGCCCAGCCCCCCCCCGCCCACCATGCCGCCGCTGCCCCCCGTGAACCCCGGCGGCCCGCGGCCCGTCTCCTTCACTCCGACAGCACGTAAGGCCGCTGGTGGGGGGAACCGCTTTTTCCGTGGGGCTCTCCAACGCGGAGGCAAACGGTTTCAGCCGTTTGCCAGGGCCCGTGGTCAGCATGGCTGGCGCGCGTTAGTAATACCGTAGGGAAGCGATGAAGTGCGAGCTGGGGGTTTCCTGCTGCTTTGCCACTTATGCAGGATGTCTGCGGAGGTCTGTGACCCCCCTCGCAGCTCGTCCCTGCAGCAGTCCGTGCTGTCAGAGCTGCCTCGAGGCCCTCTCCTTGCAGGTGTCGCCTTGATTTCTGGAACGAGCTCCTTAAGAAATTGCAATATTTTAGCAGGTTAGCTTCTAAAGAAGCCGAGGGCTGGGCTTTTCCCGGTATCTTTGGAGGAATGAATTCCCACACTGCTGTATCTCCCTTAGCGGACAGCACTTCCGAAACTGAGATGAGCAAGTTTTTTCTTCTTTTTTAATTTCCGATCCGGATGTTTCTTGCTGTCCATCCAAATTGTGTTTTCTCCATCTTTGCTGCATAATTCTTCCTATTAAGCTGCGGTTCGTCCTTGCCCGGCCATAAGTCAGGCCTCGCTTGTGAGCCACTTGCTTGTTCTAGTAGGATGTTCCTCAGAGGCGACCTCCGGGGATGTGGACTTCCGTGGCCGTAGCATCTTTCCCAAAGCCTAGAAAGAATACAGGCTCTTTTTTCTCCTTTAGCCAACATATAAGGCATCATCTTTTCAAGGTGTTTTTCAGGAGCAAACCTGCCCTGTTTTACTTAGTTTTTTAGGTATGGAATTATCTTACCCAAAGAAGTAGTAGGTAGATATTTTTCAGTCTCTCCTCACTTTTTACCTCCGGATGCTTACTGTGCCTCTAGCTACTTCTGTGTTGCTTTATTATCCAAAATTGAAACTGTGATACCTCACAGTTTAATATTGACACTGAGTTTCATAGATTTGCGGTTCAGTCTCTTTCAGGACATTCACTAATGTATTGAGTGATGCTGGCAGTAACACTAATCACTGGGTTATCCCACCAGACACGTTGTCCCCGTCTTTATACGCTGAGGGTTTTTTAATGGCTCTCTTTTTTCTGAGACAGAAAAGACCATTAGCAAAGTGACATAAATTAATTTTTCCAAAAAGGATGTTTGGCATGCTGTTAAAGTCGAAGCAGTTTGAATCTAGTGATTCCAGTTCACTTGATTGCCTCTTTAGAAGAGAAATGTGAAATACAACCTGTGGTGAAGTTATTCTTGCTTTTTACATTTCAGCTGGTTTTGATGGTCTCGGCCAGAGTCAGCTGCTTTGTGTGCCCTGCCCCGTGAGAGCCCATGGCTTGGGCAGGTGAGAGAGAGCGTGCTGGAGGAAGGCCTTGCCTTCGAGCAGGCAGTGTAACAAAAGGGTCAGAAAACCAGAGAAAGCCTTGGACTGTTGAGGACCTGGAGCAGAATTTGCAATGACTCTTGTGTTCCTGAGATTTTCCCTTCCTCCTCTCCCCATGCTTGCAGCGCGCCAGTCTGTAAGTGCCAGCCCCTTGCTCGCTCTGTCCCAAACGTCCTGCTTCAGCCCTGTTTCTCACCTGGAAATACAGATCCCCATAAGGCCTTGCAGGCGGCTCTCAGTCACTCTGCTGTAAAATGACTTGCAGGCGGGTTGGACAGCGTAAGCCTAGAAACACGAAGACCAGTAACTTGGGCTGCTGCTGCCTAACGACAGCCCGGGCTTGAGTGCTCCCTCTTGACTTCTCCTGCACTGTCCGAGTGTGTCTGCCCTTGCGGCTTCCTGCAGCAGTCACTCATTGCATCCCCCCAAGCGGTGCTCCGCGAGCCTTTTCCTTCCAGCAGGACGCTGGAGCGGTGCAGCCCTGGTTCTCACTAGGTATAAATAGTGCTCCTGCTCTTTAGCCTTCATGTGAAAGAGGAAGAGGAAACAAAATAGAGAACGGGGTACGGTGCCTTGGTCAGGGCCTTCAGAAGGCAGAGAGGTGTGTGGTCCTCCCCTATCTGAGAGAAACTTCTCTGGGTGGCTTTCTCCAGAATTTATGACATTTTCATCATGAAATAAGTGCTGGTTATGAGTAACTGTCAGAATGCTTGCCTGTGAAACTAGGTTTACATTTGCTTTTGCACAGTATTGGCCAGGACTCCATGTATAGCTAATCCTACGCTTCATCTCTGCAGCACATCTCTGTTTCTTCATTGGTTTGGAGCAGGGGGTGAGAACAAGACTTTTTCAAGTTGTCGTGATCCATAACAAAAGGCACGAGCTCATTTGGACCTTGCTGCTCCGTCTTCTCACTTTAAAAGAAGAGTTTACCTTCATTTCTTTCTCTCTCCCTTTATGAAGGGATGCATCCTTGTTATGCCCCGGAAAAGCCTGTCCCCTTTTGATTAGCATGAGCAGCTTTGATGGTCTCTTTACCATTATCTTTCCCTGGGATCTGTAACCGACTCTGGGTAATCGTGTCTGGTTACTCCTGCGCACGCCACGGCAGGTCCAGGTGTGTGAGCCGCCTGCATAACCTCAGACCTCGGAGTGCCCCAGGGCGGTTTAACTGTTCAAGTACCTCCTGCCTTTTTCTCTGAAAAACTCCCACCAGGGCTGTTCTTTGCAAGATCCGAGGATTTTGCACAATCCCCATTAAGCTGCAGCTGACGTTCTGGCACCTCTTGCAAGCCGCCGCTCCGTGCAGAGCTGCGTGTGTCTTCCCTGCCCCGTCCACGTGCCAGCATGCGAGGGGCGACACAGCTCTCAGGACCACTTTAGTGGTTCACCTCTGAGCGCAGATGCTTACAACGATTTTATAGCCTCACGCTGCTTGTGGCCTTGTCTTTAGCGTTTGCAATCACCATGGGTTCAAGACTGGGCTCTTAAAGATAAACCACTGGATCGGCTAAAACTACATTTACCGTCCCGTACTTTTCACCTCTAAAATTTGTATTTATATCAAGTTTGGGCCTCAAGCGCACAGCTGCTTTTAAAAATTTCCCAGACAAGGCTTTAGATTGCACAACTGCAGTATGGGGATGGCAACAAATTATTCAAACCCCTTGTGGAGTTCCCAAACTCCCATAACATAGCCGGTTTCAACATGCTTTCTGCTTAAAGGAGGCAAAGTTGCAGATGGGACCAGGCTAGAAAACCAACTGTATTTGTGAAACCGGTTTGCTATAAATCCCCAGGCAGTAACGTGACCTGGGCACTGCAGTGGGGCACACCACCTGGGCATCACCGCCTGTGAGCTCCGGTGGTGCCAGCCCTCCTTCAGAAGGTGGTGGAGGCACTGGGGCTCCCCGATGGGACCCAGGCTGGACCCAGGCTGTAGTGAGCACTGCGGACTGTGCTCTGTACACTGTACTCTGTGCGGACTGTGCTCTGTACACTGTACTCTGTACACTGTACTCTGTGCACTGTAGTGAGCACTGCGGACTTGTTGTAATTTATGCAACCAGAAGGGACTATTTCGTCGCCTGGTGTCATCTTCGGCACGACACGGACAAGAAATCACTGCTCAGTAATTCTTTCTGAAGGCTACAGACTTTGAGCTAAGGCATGTTGTAAGTCCTCAGGCTGAACGCACAATGCGGCTCGGTCTGCCACAGCATAAGCTTCATGCAGCTTGACCCTGTGTCCTGAGCTGCCCCCGGTAAAGGTCGAGGTGTGTGTTTGGTCTGTGGTTCTTCTGAACCCTGATTCTTTGTCATTGTTTAATGTCTCTGGAAGGGAAGCTAGAGTGGATAGTGTCCAGAAAAGTCACTGGCTGTGTTGTAAATCACCCATGAGCTTTTTTAGTGAGGCAAGCGCTTAGGGTCTATCCCTCAGTCAGAACAGGGGTCCTGCTGAGGAAACCTGGAGCAGATGCCTTCGTGGGGTGAGCGGTGCCTGTGTGCTCAGGGCTGCGGAGCGTCACCAGGACGCTAAGGGAGAGGTATGTGTCAGTGCCACTGAAGAGCTCCATCACCGAGGCGTGCTCCTGCGTCTTCTGCAAGTCTTGCAGGCTCTGCCCTGATCCTGGCCAGTTTTCTAAGTCCTGCCCTGGGAGCTAGCATAGATTTAGATGTCCACACAGCGCTCTTGGGCGACCCAGCTGGCACGCAGGCAGTGTGTGTACCTGTGTGGTATCTCGCACCAGACCAGATAGCTGCATGGTGCGTGGGCTTTGGCATTCTCTCCTAAGACTGAGTAAAAACAGGATACTTTTAAAAACCAGGCCACAGGGACGTGCCCACCTCTCACAGCAGAGCTCAGTAACGCGTTTGGCTTGTGTCCGATTTGCAGTGCCCAACGGGATTAACCATTCCCCCCCGACGCTGAACGGGGCTCCGTCTCCACCTCAGCGGTTTAGCAATGGTCCTGCCTCATCCTCCTCCTCCTCGCTCACCAACCAGCAACTCCCAGCCACTTGCGGCGCCCGGCAGCTCAGCAAGCTGAAGCGTTTCCTCACAACCCTGCAGCAGTTTGGCAATGACATTTCTCCAGAGATCGGGGAGAAGGTCCGGACCCTCGTTCTGGCTTTGGTGGTGAGTATGACCCGGGGAGGAGAGCTAAGCCTCAGAAAGGCCTGCAAGGCCTTGCGTTTGCAAAAGCTTTGTAGCAATGGGATCCTGGCAGCCAGCGTGTGCCTATGTTGCACAATGTTGCGCAGTTGTGTCTTTATAAGCAGAGTTACTGGCTAAGCGGGACTTGCAGTGTTTACGCTTTGTGGTAAACGTGCTGGCTTTTTTTCTTGTCTTCAGTGCATTGCAGAAAACTGTTTGATTGTCCATTTGCATTGCTTTGATGTGAGCCCAGGTGCAGCTGAACTTAAGGAAACTTGGAAGGTTTTGGGCTAAGCTTTGCTACGAGGGCTACAGGTCCAGTGTTTTTCCCCTTCCTCACTAGAAGGCATGGAATAGGCTGGGCTTCTTGGTTTCCTCTTGTAAATGAAACTTTCATGCAATTCAGAGGAGCCTGTAATTTTGTGCTAGGAAAATGTTTTCATCCTTGAGCCCTGAGTGTGCGGAGCAGGGGGGGGGATTTATGATTTCCTGACCCTGACCGCCGATCGATTTAACTCTGATGTGCTCCCATATGAAGAAATGCCAGTTTCGCACACTGTTTCGTAAATACCATCCTGACTTCAGCATGGCAGCATGGCATAATGGAATAAGCAGCGGCGCAGAGTCAGGAACTCGCTCCTGTCCCTGCCAGGGACTCGCTCTGGAAAGCCAGCGGTGCTTCCCTCCCTCAGAGGACCTCTGGGACTGCAGGTGGATGGTTGATGCACCACATTGAAAAAGTCATATTATACCTACATGGTGGGCCTTTCACATACACGCCACCATCCTACTTCCTGTAGCTTCTGACTGAACGGTGGAGGTATTGAAAGTGTGTCTTTCTCCAGGGCACCTAGGTGACATTGAATTTAAGGTCTTCTGGAAACACCATGTGGGGGTGGTGTCTCTGAATATGCCCTTTCAAAAGAGATTCAGTCCTAAGCCTTCAGTGTGTAGAGAACATCATGACACTTGAAAAGTTTAATTTGCGATATGCAGTGGTGAACATGGTATGTATTTAATGGTGGGGGGGGGGAGTTCCCTCTTCATGGGATGCTCCTGCATATCTTGACATAGGCCCACTAGCAAAGCAAACTTAACTGTGGCCAAAGTCTGCAAAAGACAGGAAGTCTCCTATTGCAGCGGCAGGCCTAGACTTGTGATACTCTGCCACTTTGTGTGTTTGCTTATTTGCCTGCGCTAAGAAAGAGATTGATGGTTATGCAAACTTTTGTCCAGCTGTATTAATGTTTATGATAGTCTGAAGGTGCAATTACAGGAAAGATCTTGATAAATAGCACTTTTGTGCATCTGCTGCCCTTCTGCCCCGTTCCCGCCCTTGGGATTTGCAAGAGCTGGGATTGATGATGGTGCATGCATATGCAAACAGTACGTGTTCTTTTGCATCTATGGACAGCAGATAAAATTCATCTAAAAATGTCCTTGCAAAACCAAATGAACAGGGTCCTGCTGCAGAATTATGTTTAATACTTGCAAGTATACAAACTGACTAGTAGAAATGCCTATGCAAGTGTTGTTTCAAACCGGTTTTTAAAATGTTAAATAAACAGTGGTTGTGTGCAAGCCCAGCCTCGTGGAGACCCGACAGCACACAGCACCATGCAGACTGCCCAGCCACGAGCTGGTTGTCGCCCAGCGCAGCTCCTGAGCTGACTCTGCTTCCTGGCAGGCTTGCTTTCGCACCTCAGCACAGGGTGCTTGTAGCCAGGCTACAGGCGCACTGGAGTAGTTCTGCTCCCAGGGCTGGCATGGGCAGAGCCTCTACTCCACACGTACCTATGGGTCTGTCCACAACCTGCAGGGCTTTCACAGAACTTTTGCACTAGTTGCAAAAAGCTGCCAGTGAAGTAGAATGGCATATCTGTTTCCATAGGTGTAGGGTAGTATTCCAGCTTAGCCTTTGGGAAAGGAAATTATAAGCCATTTGGGTTCCTCTGACGGTCATTCTCATCGCTGATTGAGATTATTGCTGCAGGGCTGCATGCTGTTGTGCAGTGTGGCAAGTGCTGCTCATGCCAGAGAGCATGCAGCCTAAGCAGCCGAGGAGGATACAAGGTAAGGAGGGAGAGAGGAAGGCCTGCCATGGCGGGGAGCAGCAGGCTCGTAATAAGTGACTTCCTGGATGGTAGATAGGTTGGACTAGATGAGCTGAACGGGAGGAAAAAGGAGGGGAGGGAACCCGCGGGGAAGCTGACCTGAATGGGCTGGGAGCAGGGAGGCACAGGCAGCCCAGGGACCCGCAGCGGGTGCAGGCAGCCTGCTCGCGCCCAGAGAAAGGGCCTGGGCTCGGGCTCCTCGTGCAGCTGCGACCACCGGCTGGAATTGCTTTCTGCCTCCTCGGCAGCCTTCCCCCGGCCACCTGGCTGGAGACGCTGGCAGTGCCAGCTGGGTGGCCGCTGGCTGCGTGCACCCTCGCCCAGGGTGGCACGATCTGCGCTGGCTCTTTCTGCTCAACTGGCCCCAGCCTTTTGGCTGTGGTAGGCAGAATCCGACGCAAACATTGTCAGTCCTGTAATGGCAGATGTGGTCTCCCTTCCAGGTCTGTTGGTTTTGAGCCACTTCCCAAGTGTCTAAAATAAGAGCAAATTCTCATTTCATTTCTTAATTTCTTTTCTCAGAACTCAACGGTGACAATTGAGGAATTTCACTGCAAGCTGCAAGAGGCTACGAACTTCCCCCTCCGGCCGTTTGTGATCCCCTTTCTGAAGGTGACAGTGAGCAGTTGGGTCTTGTTAATGCTTCATGTGTTGGTCTGTGCTGCTTGGCAGCATGACACTGATGGGAAAGCTCTTGTTTTAAGCATCGGAACAGTTCTGTTAAAGTCCAAGACACACTGCACAGACCGTAGTGATCACCATGGGTAACTGGCTCACAGAAGCTAACATTGCAACAGGTGCCACACGTGTCCACTTGCACGTTAGGGATAAATGAGACAAACTGACCTCCATTCTGCAGTTTCTCATCCTATAGTCTTATTTTCAAATGTTCGAGTCTAGAATATTTGAAGTGTTGGTAGACGGACCATGTCTGGAGTTGTTAGATGCTGGAAGCACGGAGAGCTTCCCGTGAATCTTTGTTTCTGTGCGCACCAACTTCAACCCTTGAGAGAACAGGGGTAAACCTTAACCAGGGCAGCGATCGTGAGCAGCAGGACGACTGAGAGGAGCCCACAGGCTCTAGACGTTGTTCTGAGGGGTGACGGGGATGGAGCAGATCTTCTGCAAACAGGTGGAGTTGCCTGTCTGCAGCCTGCATAGACCAGACCCACAATGTGTGGTAATTTGTTTTCCAGGCCAACCTCCCTCTGCTCCAGAGGGAGCTGCTGCACTGCGCCCGGGCTGCCAAGCAGACGCCGTCCCAGTACCTGGCACAGCACGAGCACATCCTGCTCAACACAAACACCACGTCCCCGGCTGACTCCTCGGAGCTGCTCATTGAGGTCAATGGAAATGGGAAGAGGCACAGTCCAGACAGGTAAAAAGAGCTTTTGCCACTCTGCCAAGTTTTTAAAATCATGACTTTTGACAGCAGTAAAATTGAAACAAAACCTCAAACAACGTCTAATGCTAAACCACAATATCTTACCACTCATAACGACTGTTCTGACTGTTAACAAGATACAGCAGATAGTGGCTGTAATTCCTCCTCACAGGACCTGGCCTGGGATCCTCTTTGAGGGCTTTCAGGCAGATCCTGTCCCAGAGTGACTTGTTCAGTAGAAGGTTTAAAACACCTGAACTGGAAAGCTCGGCGATTCTCCAGAGGTCGCACCGTCTGCTTCCCTAGGCTGAGGGGTGACGCAGAGTGAGGGCTAAGGAGGATGGGGTTCATTTTAGTTTTCACTACTTTTATTTCATGTTGCATAATTATGTAGACTATGCTTCAAATTTATACAAACTATGAGATTTTAATTTGGCCATACTAAGAAAGATAAATATCAACACCTGAGCGTCTTGGAGTTGGATTTTTTTTTTTTTTTGACAAGGTCATTTCTTGGATTTGTTCTCAAGCTGGGTGCATTTTAGCTTCCTGCTTTTTTTTCCCTCAGTAAAATCACCACTGCCCACACTGTCCTGCCTTGACATCCGCATCTTTCCATTTCTGAGCGTGCTCACGCGGTGCTAACGAGTACATCTGTCTCTCGGTTCGGTTGCAGAAGAGAAGAAAACAGCTTTGAGAGAGAGCCGCTCCCGACAGAGCCTCCAGCCAAGAGAGTGTGCACCATCAGCCCGGCTCCCCGGCACAGTCCTGCCCTGACCATGCCCCTCATGAACCCTGCAGGGCAGTTCCACCCCACCCCCCCTCCCCTCCAGCACTACACCTTGGAAGATATCGCAACTTCCCATCTGTACAGAGACCCCAGCAAGATGTTGGAGCACAGGGATATTCGTGAGCGGCATAGCAGCCTTGGTAAGAAGGCCTGTAAAGATTTATTTGTAGGAGCTGTGAAATCCAATAGTTGAACTAGCAGGCTGTGTCCCTGATTCACCCCGACAGCCTGTACTTGCCCGCTTGCCCTTAAAGCTGTGTAATTTTTAGGCAGAAAGACAGGAGTTTTTTCAAGGAATTCAGACAGAACAATTGGCAGTGAAAGGTTAAAAAAGGGAAAATTGAATGAGAGGCAGTATTGGTGCATGCAGGCTGGAGCCACCAAGGACGAGGAGAAAGGACCTGGTGTTTGAGTTGAGCGTAGCCAGCCCAGCAGGCAAAATGAAGGCTGGGAAAATAGAGATTAACTCTTCAGCGTAACTGCACAAGATGTGTGGAGCCTGGAGAGACAACAGCTTGACTCCTTCTCCCTCTCCCCAGCACGGGCGGGAGTGTGCATGGGGGGTGAACCCCGGGTTTCCAGCAGGGCAGCCTGAATCACAAGTTCTGAGTGACTGTGGATTTCTAATGAGGGACCTGGCTCTCCAGGCGGATCAGATCCAGACCTGCGACTGTGCCGAAGCATTTCCGAGAACACGTGCAGGCCAAATTGCCTTTCAAACGCTGACCGCTCCCCTAGAGCTGAATGGGATGTTGAGCAGCACCCAGTCCTGCTCTTTAGAGAGTCAATGACATAAAAAGAATAAAAACACCAGCATGGAACGTGGTCCTGTAGAGCCACCTCCCTGCTATGTCTTTTAAAATCTCAGCTATACAGGGTTAGAGATGCAGACCTTATTAATGCTTCAGGGCCGCATTCCCTCTCCGACACTGAAAGAACTTGGTCTCTCTAATCCCTGTTCTGATTGTGGTTTGTGACAGGTTTGAATGGAGGCTATCAGGATGAGCTGGTCGACCACCGCTTAACGGAGAGAGAGTGGGCTGATGAGTGGAAGCATCTCGATCATGTAAGGAAAGGCGAGTGGTGTGGAAAGCTCTGTGGGACACAACAACCTGGCGCTCCTCCTGCTCCAATTTGTGTTTTTGTTGTTGCTGGTAATATATCCAGGCTTTCCAGGTGGCTTGTAGATGAACAGTGGTGTGAGAAGGTGGGTGGTGAGGAGGACAGAAAGGAGCAGTAACACTCTCCTGGCGTAGGTGCGCTACGTGCAACAAGCATACAGAGTTACAGGATAAGCATTCCCACCATTATTTTGCTTTAACGCTTTTTTCCTGGGCAGCAAGCCTTTTATTGGCCTCAACTAGGTGCCCACAGTGAGATTTGTATTTCTGGCAGGCTTTCTGGGGAGCCTGTTTTTCCCTCGCAGCAACTCGGCTGGTCCAAGCACTTCACTTGAGCGTTTTCCCCTAAAGCGAAGGGATTGAAATTTGAATTTTGATCACAAACGCAGAGAGACCCTATGCTTGCTTATGCTCTAAAGCCGATGTTTCGCATAGGTGTGTGTGGAGTAGAGGCCGTGCAGTTGAATTTTGTGAGCTGGGATGTGTCTATGGAGACTGGGTACCAGGCCCCTTTCCTCTAGGTCAGAGACAGAGGCTCCTATAATACGCTTACCTGCTGGTTTCAGGAACAAATGTGCCCCTGCTGACACCTCTGTGTGTGGCAGTCATGAGAAGATGTCTGCACAGCCATGGGGAGCCACAGCCAACCCTTATTGGGGTTTTTGTACCAGTTTTTGAACACTTGTTGTTCCTTCCTACAGGACCTTTTCTGTGCTCCAAGCATCTTTTACCCCTCCGTGAGCTTTCTGATGGCTGCGATGGAGGGGTGGGATTGTGCACTGCGGTTATAGCAGGGCTCCCTGCGCATCTCCGGAGGGCTGATCCCAACGGCAGTCACGAGGGTGGCACTACAATACCTGCTTGAATAGCGCTTCATCCGAAATATCACGCACAGATGCTGTTACTGTGAAACGACCTTTTGTTTTATCTTACCAGGACAGTCTTGATGGTACCTCCCATGAGAAATTCAGGAGACGACCTCCTGAACAGGCAGTTTAACCAAGACTGAGAACGTGTCCTTCCCCGCAGGCGCTGAACTGCATCATGGAGATGGTGGAGAAAACCAGGCGCTCCATGGCTGTTCTGCGGCGCTGTCAGGAGGCCGATCGGGAGGAGCTCAACTACTGGAAGAGGCGGTGCAGCGAGACTGCGGACACGAGGAAGGCAGGGAGCGAGCTCATCTCCAGGCAGCACAGTCCCAGCAGCTCTGACTCCATCAGCAGCGGTAAGAGAGGGAGCGTGCCGGGCTGTGCAGGAGCGTGCCATGCTGTCGCCTGGTTGACTCAGGTGCTCCTCACTTCCACTAGTTTTGGTGGGAGTGCTACAAGATGTCAAGGTTTACAGGCAGGCTGGGTAATAGACGTTTTTTCATGAAAAATAAACCCTTTAAAGTAGATGTTTAGTTATGACAAAGCTATACTAGGTATGCTAGGTTTGATATATTCAAATTACGATATAAATGAAATACTCAAGCGGTGCATGACTGTTTTCAAAGCTTTGAATTGGATCATTGAGCTGGTGAAAGTTCCTGGGTAAGCTCCTGTAACCAACGTTCGCTGGAGTGTGAAAGCACCTTTTGGCAGCAGCAGCTTCTTCTGCAGGTGCCAAGAGAGTATCGTCCTCAGGTCAGTTGAGTCAGCGAGTTCAGCTCAAGGATCAGTTCATTCAAAGCTGAGAAGCCAGCAGGGAGGTGAAAAAACAAGAAATGTTCTTGATTTCACCCCTCTTCCCCTTCTATTCTGTCTAAAGGATGGTAAATGGTGAGACCTGCTAATGCCAAGAATATTGATGAATGGTCTAAGCATAAGAGCTACTACCACCTATAATTTGAATAATGAATAGTTTCATAAGTCAATTTAACTTGATTAAAACTGAGTGTTTTTCCCCTCCAGTATGCAGGGGGTTTTGACTCACTACGAAAACAAGTTTGAAACCTTAATTTTATGCATTTGGATTTAATTCTGATTTCCATCCAAAACAGTCTGCTACAAATCAAATGCTAAGAACAATCCTGATCATTCAGTAATGAAAAAGTATTCTAACAGTTAGAAAATGCTTCTAAAGTTTACTGATAGAAAATGTTTTCTAACAGTAATAAAAACATCCAAACTAAAACTCTCGATTTGATGTATGTTCTGCTTGTTGTCTGTATGCTGAATAAAGAGAGTGAATGTTCCTGCGTGTCAGAAAGAACCATTGGTTTTAGGGTCCAAGCCAGATTTAGCTGCAGTGGAACAAGTTGTGATACTTCCCAGACAGTGAGAATGAGTATTTCTTAGGAAAACAATAAAAAATACACAGGCAAAAGGAATTCAAGTAAGACACGTTAATCAGTGTTTCTTGTTTGCTGCCTTAATTCCTATTTTACTCTCAGGGTTTGACTTCAGTCATTCCACAGCTGCTTCACAGAAGCAGCAGGTTGGACTGGGTGCATTGAAACTTTGACGTGGCAGCAAGTGAGCAAATGGGAGGAAGAATAACTTGTGAACAATCATTCTGTTCCTAGATTAGCCTTTGCCTTGCTTTGAGAATATCACAGAGCTCTAAATTTAGGAGCTGAAGTTGTCACTGATTTTTAAAGTTTTCCCAAAAGACGGTAAATGAATTTTCAATTAAAAGAAGAGTAAATTCTGAAATGGCTTGAGGGATTCTCTTAAAACCATTTCAGAGCTGGGAAAAGGCCTGGAGGGCACAAAAAGCATGCCGAGTCTGAGAGCAGGGAGAGGGGTGGCAGAGGCGAGAGAGAAACAACGTGGCCATGGCTCCAGCCATAAGGCAAGAGCGCTTGGAGGGGGCCACACTGTGGCTGGTAGTCAATTAAGGACCTGATGATCACAGCTGGCTTTTAGCTCCTTAATAGACGTGTATATCATGGCTGATGTACTTACAACCCCAAGATGTTATAGGTGACCTTTGTTGTTGTTGTTTTTAATAAGGATCTTGGTTGATGTTTTCTCCCCTTGTGGGACCTAATGCTAATTTTTTGAATTGTGGTGCTATTGACAGAAGGTGTGGTTAAATGTCAAGAAGCTTTTCCGGGTGTACCATAGCCTGTTACGAACTTGAAGAACCTCGGGACCTTTACGAAGTGTTTTTATTCTCCCGTTACCCTTTGCCATGGTTTAATTTTTGTTTGGCCGATGTCATCTGACCCTTCGGAGAGTTATTTTGAAGTATTAAAAAGGGATAGGGATAAAAGACAGCACTAAGCTTCTGAAAAACTTTCCTGTGCGACTGTATGCTGTGTTGAGATCCTCAAGTGACTGTCCCCATCTGTCATATTAGCTCTTGGGAGGTTTATGGGTACTCGGGAATGCATACACCCCAACGGTAAGAGATCTTGCAGTACAGTTTGTCCGTCAGGGTAAGTCTTTGAATTGCCCCCGGAATGGAAAGTGCTGTGTTTAATGTAAACTACTCTTAGTATAGACTGATGTTCAAAGTCACTGGACAGTGCAGATGTTTGATGGCATGTATTTAGAAGTATTGCCTGTTATAAAGTGCCAGGAGATAGAAATGGCTTATACAGTGTAATAAATTATGCAGGGCACTAATTAAATGTTGACATTTATTATCTAGGTGTTTGATGACTGGCCTTAACCGTAGGAATGCTTTGCTTTGGGTTTTAGCTGGTTAACCCTACCCTGTCCAGCTGATGTCTTGGCTGGACGCAACAATACTGTGTAGGCTTTTCCCCAGCCTTCCAGGGTGCCGATGGGCGGCTGTTTCCCAGAAAGCTGGCGGGTGAGACGAGACTTTGCCAACCTTTCCGTGTATCGCTTATTCCAACAGATTCCTTGCGGGAGTTCAGCAGCAGGTCAGGAGCAGGCTATGTCACTGAAGAGATATGGAAAAAAGCTGGTAAGTAAGTGTTTGTTAGCAACCTTGGCGAGTGACTCTACCAAACCGTTTGAGGTAAACACAGATGCTGCAGATTGCTCCACGGAAACTGGAAAAGTCCAGCTGCTGAAAGCCCCAGAACGTGCACATCTGGCTTGGTTCGCTACCAACACCTGGCCTGGGTTTTCCAACAGGCTGCACCTCCCACGGGCTGTTAGTCCGTGTGCCCACACAAGGCGCTTGCCTGCTGTGGATGATGGAAGCGCGCAGGCGCCGGGAGTGTCGCGCCTTGGAAAGCAAGCGTGGGGATGTGTCCTGGCGCGCGCGAGCGAGCCTGACTGGGCACCCAGCTGTCATTTGCAGCACAGATGTGGAGTAATTCAGCCGGGGAACAAAACCCACTGAGGATCGCTCTCGCGTTAAACTAGTCGGAGGTCTGTAGTGTCTTGAGACCTTCAGTCCAGCAGTTTCTGAGCCTTTCCTGGGGCCTGTTCTCACCCTTCTCCTGTGGTAGCGCGCAACGGGCATGCAGCCTGCGCTGGGGGGAGTTGGAAAGCCGGCCCCATTCCCAGTGGCCAGAGTTGCCAGGGGGGTGGGGTGCTCCTGACGCTGAAGCGGCCTGGGTCCTTCCTCCGCGGCCCTCCTGTGGGGGCTCTCCCAGCTAGCAGGTGACGCAGGGCGCCGTATCCCAACGTCTCGGCCATGCGTCCAGCCCAGCGGCTCTCTGAGGCTCGCTGTGCTCCGAAGGCCGGCTGGTGAAGCCGTTGTTTCCTTCCAGAAGAAGCTGTGAACGAGGTGAAGCGTCAGGCCATGTCTGAGGTGCAGAAAGCTGTGGCAGAGGCCGAGCAGAAGGCATTCGAGATGATCGCCTCTGAGAGGGCGCGGATGGAGCAGACCATTGCGGACGCAAAGCGCCAAGCGACTGAGGATGCATTCTTAGTGATAAACGAGCAGGAGGAGTCTACGGAGGTAAGATGCCAGGGACCAGCCACAGCCGCCGGGCGGGTGGGAGAGTGGTGGGGAATGCCCAAGGAGGGAGTTTTGAAGGCACACGATATCTGTAGGTCCTGCCTACCAGCCACGCAGTGCCTGTAGGTCCCATATCCCATTTTCCTTCTAAAAGTCTCTCTTTAAACAGTACTTTAAAGGACTCGTTAATACCATTAAAGACAGCTTTTGCTCTTGATTTCATTGGCAGGGAATTGGCCTAAATGTTTCCCTGACGGAAGGGTGTCTGTTGGGCACCCTTGTGTATGCAGAAGAGCTGTGTGAAGGCGTCCCTGGGCACTGTTAGCTGGACTCAGTGCAACTTATTCAGCTTTAGGGAGGTGCAAAAACAATAAGAAACTGATACCAGTGGAATACAGCGCTCTTTTTCTCAGAAATCTGTCTGTTTAGAAAGCAAATTGCTGATTGTGGGCTTTAAAACAGAGCAGGATAATAATTAGATTGCAGGTGACTTCAGAATTGCACCACTCGTTCTTTGATGGTCTGTGTCATACCCCGTGTCTGTGCAGACCAGCATGCTGGATATCATCTTGGACACTGCAGTTTTGCTGGCTCACAAAATAACGCGCCCCGGTTAACGTGTGGTTAACTGCTCTCCAGAAACAGCCTTTGCAGTTTTCTTGCTGCTCAGGTCCCATAAAACCTGCCAGTACCTCAGCCATTAGGAGATTAATGTCAAACTTCTGTGTGGGATCGTTGTCCCTGCAGTACAGAAAGTCTAGTAACACCTAATGAGACATTTGCATGTTTTAAAAAGAACAGATGACGTTTAGTTTGTTGAAGCAAGAAACACTTGATGAGTAGGTGTCTCTTGCAGAATTTCTTTCCACCTCACAGTCGTTAATTATCTTCACTGTTCTTTAACTAGAAACTCATTCCATTAACCTTTGGAAGTCTTAGCTCTGCTGAGCAAGGAGAATTGCTTGGTTAATTCCTTCTCATGGTTCCCACGCACTGTCACGCTACAATGTCCCAGCCATGGGTAGGGTTTTCTTCTTGTTTTTGGAGTTCTTTTTTTTTTTTTTTTAATTTCTCCACACACATGCTTTGGGCTTTGCCTCTGTTTCTCCCAAGCGAAAATTTGATGGGAATGGGAAGTTAATGCCATCCGTGACTGTGTGGGCAGCAGGTCCATCCCCCCGCCCCTCCCCAGGATTTCCATGCCCTGTGCTGGTCTGGGCACCCTGGATTCAGTACGGGGGAAGCTCTGGGAAAAGCTAGCCCAGCCTCCTATGTATGGTTTGATGGTATGGTGTGCCCAGCTCTGGTGCGGGGGTTGCTTTCACGTCACAAAAACAATGTAAATATGAGATCTTTGTCAGAAAAGTATGTATAGAGCTTATTACTTCCCAATTAAATTGCTGAAGGAAGAATGTAGCAGTCAGTAAACACGTGATGGGAGGAACTGCTTAGGCGGCCACGGAAGAGATGAGATAAGCAATGGTTTTGCTTTGGGGGAATACCAGAGAAGCGTCTTCCTGCCTTGTCTCCTGTCTGTCCCCGAGCACAGCTCCGGAGGGCTGGCGAGAGCCGTGCAGCCTGGGGCCTCGGGGGCAGCGGAGCGCCCCGCCGGGAACGTGCTCCTGCTATAGCTCCGGCACTCTGGCACTGGTGTTTTTCTCTAAAAGCCGCATTGGGAGCTGTCACGGATTCTGGCATGCCTTGTAATCTTTGAAATAGGGTTTAAAAACACTGGTTTAGACAGCAGTGTAAACAGCTGTAAGGCAGTGACCCAGTTTTTCGAGAGCTGCTGCAGGCTTCTCTGGGCTTTTGAGTCCTGCTTCTCCCGGCAGATTAGAGGAGGCTCTGGTGTATGCTGGCCCTAGAGCGTTTCGCTCCCAGCCGGCTCGCGTTGGCTGTTTGCTACAAGCCAGGAAATTATTGTTGGGAGCGAGCGGCTCCCGGTGCAGCAGCGGGCGGACGCGCTCCTGGGAGCGCGGAGCTTGCGGCTCTTGCCCGCAAGAGGGCTGCCTGCCACGGGACACCTCGCGCGAGGCCCCTTGCCTGCTCGAGCAGCGTTTTGCTTGTGCTCGCAGAAGCGGAGGCCAGTGAAATGTGCCCTGTTGGGCAGGATTAGAGAGAGGCATGCGGACTCTGGCGGAGGCTGCTTTTTCACAGCTGAGCTTGCTTTCCCAGTATGCGTTTGCTAATGCACGAGTCCAGCTGCAGGAAAGCTAATCCTCTCGCTCCCCTCCTCGGACCAGCTGCAGCCACAGCTCCCGGCTTTGGCCTCCTGCCCTCGCGCTCATGACGAACCCGTCGCGCGCTGTAAGCCCACCAGCTGACACGTCTCCTGGAGTCCAGAGAGGCTTTGCTCATCTTCCAGATTGAAGCCCACGCTCTGGCAGCGGTTCCAGCTGGCCGGGAGGCTTTCAAATGAGCTTTTTCTTTTCCAAATTAGCCTGTTCCAACCTCTTGTGCAGCTAAGCAGGGTGCGAAGCAAATGGTGCCTGTGCAGCGTGGTGTAATCCCCGTGGAGAGCACTTGGCTGGGAGTGATACCAAAATAGAGCTTCTTAAAACAGGAAATAAAAAGGCCGAGGAGCAGCATCTGCAGTGTGTTTTTCATTCCTTGCCTGCTGTTTCCTGTATGCATTTGGGTGGATCTACTGGAGAGGATGTGACCAGTGCAGTTTGGCAGGCTATTTCGGGCAGAGCAGAGAAGCAGGGTCAGTACCTTTGGCAAAAGCTGTGAAATAGCAGGAATTCATAGATTGGTCATTTTAATATGACTAATTTGGGGCGGAGGGGGGAAGCACAGTCCCCTCCCCAGCTGTTGAGGGAGCGCCATCCTACGGCTCAGGAAACTAAACACGTTTTAACGTGCAGCGTCTTCCGTCTTTCAGAGCTGCTGGAACTGCGGTCGCAAGGCCAGCGAGACGTGCAGCGGCTGCAACATCGCCCGGTACTGCGGCTCTTTCTGCCAGCACAAGGACTGGGAGAGGCACCACCGAATCTGCGGCCAAAGCCTGCACAGCCAGACCAAGCCCCTGGCTCTGCCCACCACCTGCCGCCAAGACCATCGACGGGGTACCGAGCCCAGCCCTCGAGAAGACTTCGGCAACAACCTCTCGATCCTCTACCCCAGCATCTGTGACAGCAATAGATACAAACGGACTCTAAAGGGAAAGTTTTGTTTCACGTTAATTTTCCTGTTTTTTAAGCCGAAAAAAGCCCACAGGAACTCATATCACTTTACACGTTTGACAAATCTACACTGCCTCCTCTGAAAGCACCGACACTGACGGTTTTCCATCTCATCCTGCCTTGTTTTCATGGTTCATAAAGACCTTGTGCCGGCCTTGCCTGAGGGGCCTCCGTACCAGTCTCCTTGAAGGGTCATACCAGAGAGCGCCACTGGGACGTCGAGGATGCTGGGCTCCCCCTCCGCGGGACCGGGACTTCATGGCAAGCGCTCCCGGGGCATGCAGGAGATGCCAAGCAAGCAATGCCCAGATAGGGGACCTTGTACTGAAGAGTGAAACATGTTCACGCTCCTCTCTCCTGGGCTGTCTAAACAGCCCCCTCGTTCAGCTACCTTTCTTCCATAATATGCATCTATTTTTCCTTCCTCCCAGACAGCAGTTTCTCACGCATCTGTGCTGACTCTTTGTTGCTGTGAACAGACCGGAGCTGATTTCCCAGCAAGAGCATCTCATTCTCTAGTGCAATGACAAATACGTAGCTGCTTGGGGATAGCTGAGCCTGCTTCTCTTCTCCTGCCTGAGGCTGGTTATTGGCTGACAGATTGCGGAGACTGAGGAGAGAATTTGTCTGCCGAGGACAGGTCGAAACCAAATGTCAGTACCAGGGAAGTACGGATGGTCACTTTTAGATGGCCGGTTTTTAATCCCTTCCTCTAACTGGACAGGCAATTGCTTGTCATTCTGGGTAGGACCTTTGCTCTCATTGCTGAATGAAAATGTGCAGACCAAATCTGGATTCTTGGTGGGCAGTTATTGCCCTTTCCAGCTGGGTACCGTTATTTTGCTATGCAGAAAGCATTTTTTCACTGCATGGAAGTTGTTGATTTGAGAGTTACTGGCGTTGTTTTTAACCACAAAGATCTTCACACTATTGCGATGGATTATTTATATATTCTCTCCAAGCATGTTGGCCAAACTATTAAAAAATTCAGAACTTTGTATCCTATGTCAGTTCTGGAACCCCCAACCCTCGTGGGGTTACTGGAGGGCTGCTCTGATGGATAACGTGCTTATCTCAGCTTCGTTGTCACTGCATGTTTTATGCAGAGAAGCGCAGCCCTCTGCGAGCAACACTGCCTGTGCTGCAAAGCAGCCAACACCACCTCATCCAGCATTTGAAACCCATCTCAAAAATGACAGTTCGCAGGGAGCGGTCTAGCTGGGTTACCGCAGTCAACCCAAGGAGGCTAATCTCTCAAATAGCCTCCGCTTTGGCATTAAAGGAATGTTTTAATGTAGTCCAAAATACATAATCAACACTGACCCATAGAAGAGCTATTTCAGCGTGCAGGGAGCACAGCAGGGCTTATCTCAAACACTTCATTTTAAAACTCCCTTCAGAGGCTGTTGGAGGCCCAGCTAATGGGAGGAATCAGAGCGTGCCCTCTTGGGATTCACACTGATTTCACATGCTGTGCACAAATGGGATCTAGAAAACCATCTATTCAGCAAAGCTGTGTTTCCATGACTGTTTTTTGTGATTGCTGGGTTGGAGCCCAATGAGGCAAGTAATTCCCAAATTATTTTTGATCACTTTTTCAATTGGAGGCGAATAATAGAGATGTAATGAATGAACTCATTGAGTTTGCAGCGGTGTAGCTGTCTGCCGGCTGTCATTGGTATGCCCAGGGATAAACAAGTTACCCACTGAACCAGCTTTGTTCCATAAGAAAAGATGTTGTGGAAGCTGCAGCCATGGAATAAAGTGGGCAATTGCCATGCCTGCAAAGTTTTTTTTCCAAAAAAAAAAAAAAAAAGCCACAAAGTCTCCTGGTTTTCGAGAAAGCTCTGAAGTGGCAAGTAGGATCATCTCTCTTTTGCCCTGCAAGAGAGAGCTCCCAGCACGGCTGGGGCACCCTGTGTCCGCCAGCGGCATTGCCCAGGGGCAGCGGCGGGCGCAAAGACCTGCTGCAGCCCTAAGGTCTCTCCCGCTCCTGGGCTCGTGTTAGCTGGGGTTAAGGGAGCCAGTATGTTGCAGAAACCCCGAATCTGGAAAAACTGCAGCACCCAAGTCACCCTGACCTGCAGCCGGAGGCCTGCGGGAGAGGTTGCCCTGCCAGGGATGTTTCCCCGAGGCCAGACCGAGGCAGCCCCAATCCGCAGCAGCCCCTCCTCTGGCCTGGTTGCTCTGAAGTTGTTGGAAAAGTCCTGGGAATTGGCTTTTTCCATACCTCTGCTGCAGATCTTAGAAACCATTGCGGTCTTGCTCGCAGCATTCACAAGGACCCAGCGTCAAGGAGGGCCGAGGAGATGCAGAGAGGAGCAGCAGGCGCCTCGGTCCTCCGCGGCGCTCCTCACCCTGGAGCTACCGGGTTGAAGGGCCACCTGCAAAAATGGGACATGTGCAGATTCGGCATTGCCTCGGATAAATAACATCTGGTTACGGTGTCCCAAGGATTAACTACATCCCTGCCATGGTACGGGGGGTGATCTGTGGCCAACTGCTGCACGATGGGAGGCAAAAAGAACAAGCGGCGCTGAAAGAAATTGCTTGTAAATAGATCGTCTTCCATAATTTTCATGCAACTTGTGTATTAAAATTAACCCCAATGTAAATGAATGAGATACTAACAGTCATGATTAGAATGATTGCTTTTTCCTTTTCTTTTTTTTTCTTTTTTCTTTTTAATATGGAATGATAAATGTGAAATTCTGATAAGGGAAGACTTGTTGGATTGAGTTTTTTTCTTTTTTTTTTTTGACATTTAATTCTGTAATAGGAATTCGTTACTTCATTCCTGTGCATAACTTATTTAATGTACTGTATAAAGGAACCCAAACTGTTACAGATGTATTTAGTTTGTTCTACTCAAAGTAGTCAATAAAAAGACTATATTCATCGTACAAACTCCCAGCTCCTACTTTCGTGAGAGGAGTAGAGCGGAGGTGTCGTGCTCGGGCAGCCGGAGGGGTTTCTGCGGGAGCGCTGCCGCGCCGTTGCCGCGTCTTGGCGAACGGCAGCGC